CGCGCTGGGAGGCGTGTGGTGGCTCGCTCCAGGGGTGTGCGGTTCCTTCCTTCAGCTCCCCCCCCCAGCCCCGCGGCGCGTTAGGGCGGCTCCCTGAGAAAGGGCATTTACACCTCGGGCAAGGCGCAGGCATCAGCCCCAGGGGCACCCCACGCTCCGCGCACCAGCTGCCCGGGAACGATCGCCCTGCGCCCAGCCCTGCCCGGATGAAACCAGGCCTGGTACCGGGGAGGGGGCACTGCGCGCGTACTTACCAGCGCACCCCCGGAGCCACGGCCACCAACCTTCCCCCCACAGCACCCACCCCTCGCGCCTCCAGGCGTACAACCTGCCCCGTGGGCGGGGCAAGCAGGCAGCCAGTAGCGAGGCAGGTCATTTGCAAATGATGCAAAGACTTTCGGGAAATAAATATAGGGCACATAGTTGGGGCTCCCAGTGGGTAGGATCGATTTTCACTAGACATTGTATGGATTAAGCACAAAAATAGGCTAGTTGTATTTCATTCGCCCCATAGCCTACAAACTACTGTTCACCCTAACCAAAAATCATCGTGGCGTGTAAGCTTTATATACCTAGACAGCCCTGTTATGCTTTGGATGTGAGGGCGATCTGGCTGCGACATCTGTCACCCCATTGATCGCCAGGGTTGATTCGGCTGATCTGGCTGGCTAGGCGGGTGTCCCCTTCCTCCCTCACCGCTCCATGTGCGTCCCTCCCGAAGCTGTGCGCTCGGTCGAAGAGGACGACCTTCCCAGATAGAGGAGTACCGATCTTCGGTCAAGGGTATACGATAGCTGCGCTCCCCTGCTAGAACCTCCAAACAAGCTAAGCTCAAGGTCCATTTGTAGGAGAACGTAGGGTAGTCAAGCTTCCAAGACTCCAGACACATCCAAATGAGGCGCTGCATGTGGCAGTCTGCCTTTCTTTTTCTCTATTGCCCTGCATCATAGAAGTTAGCTTTTAAATAGTAAAATTTAATCAGCATTGATCACGGCACTTTTGAGAGCTCAGGACAGAAAAAGCAAGTCTAATCATTTTACACAGGGGGAGTAGAGGCAGAAATTGTGATTTGTTCCAAATTACACAAAATGCATGAAGTGCTGCAATACAAATGAAACAGACCAATAGTTAAAGTTTACTGACATACAGGCTAGCAACATTTGCCCCTGTAGTTCTATAGATGGCTGTTTAAGCTGGGGGTTGTTACATATACCTGATTCACATTACACATTGAAACCAGGAAATGAAAGCTAATCAGGACTCATTAAGGAGTCCCACCTCCCGACCACCCCCACGACCAATGACCACGGAATAGTAATAATGTATATTAATAAAATATTTCTAGGATGTTTTATTTCACTATACAGAAAAACAGTTTATTAAAATATTTTGCATTTGGCAATTTTAGAGGTAAACATTAGAAACAAAATAAAGAGGGGGAAGAAAGCAAGCCATGCAGACAGCTCCTAAGAAGTAACCAAAGTTGCAATAACAAGGACACCAGCAATATTGAATACACAAAGAGGAGTAATATTAATTGAGCCAATGAACAACTCAAAGACAGAAAAGCTCTTTTTCCTCCCCACCAAGGAACAAGCCCTAGATTCAGGCTATTGGTCTTTGGAATGGAAGGGGTAGGAAGCAAGTGCTAGCAGCCTGTGGCTCTTACAGAGTATTCCCCCTACCCATCAGTAGTACCCAATGCTTTTATAAAAAGGACATATACAATTTGAACATCTCCACTGACAACTGTGGCAGCATGTCACAGAAGAGATGTGATCTTGACCTAGAATAGGGATGAAATAGTATAGTTGGTTAACCAATTAACCAGTAAGCAAAAGCTTATAGGTTAATGGTACAGGCAGTCCCCAGGTTACGTACAAGATAGGGACCATAGGTTTGTTCTTAAGTTGAATTTGTATGTAAGTCGGAACTGGCATCCAGATTCAGCTGCTGTTGAAACTGACCAGCAGCGGCTGAATCGGACACACCTGGGGCAGAGCAGCTGGGGTGCTGCTGGGTTGGTCCCACAGCGCTGCTCCTCGGCGCTACTGGACCAACCGGCAGCACCCCAGCTGCTCTGCTCCAGGTGTCCCCAAGTCAGTTGCTGCTGAAACTGATCAGCGGCTGACTCCAGGAAGCCCGAGGCAGAACAGCTGCATCTGCACTAGGTTCCTATATTGGTAGAAAAAAAATCTTTCAGTTGGTATAGCCTGCATCTGCACTAGGGAGTTTTACCAGTGTAAGTTCTGTAATGGAGCTTTGGGCTTAATTTTTCAAGGGGGGTAGACAAGGAAGCTAGATCCAACCAGAGGACCAAATCATGAATCCTGGTCACAAGCCACCTGAGGCATGCTGTACACGTGCTAAGAAGGAGTCTATCTAGGGTGGAAAATGTGAAAAAGTAGACATGTGTTCCTGTAGAGGAGGGTTCATTTCTTCACTAAGTTGATTATAGGTCCTCAGAGGGTGGTACAGAGATTAGCTATATTTTCCAGTTTGATTTTTGAATTTTTTCATGGGACAAAAATTCACTGCTGGTTTAATTCTCAGTGGATCTGCACCCATTTATGGCAGTGGTGAATTTGGCCATAAGTTAACAAAACTAATTGAGTCAATTGGTGTGACGGGATGTGGGCGGCGGGCCCACTGCATCGCGGCAGTCCCACCGCCCGCGTCATCCGCGCCGAGAAAAGCCACTCCGCATCTCCCTGGTCTGCTGGGTGGGGACGCTAGCTCCGCGTCTCCCTGGTCTGCTGGGGGGGAAGCGCCCTCCGCGCCGCCAGAGGCAGCGACAGTGGGGGAGGCACCCCGCACTAGCAGGCCTCTCCCCAGTTTGTAACTAAGGGTCCGACTTAAGTCAGACTGACGTAACCCGGGGACTGCCTGTATAGACTACACACATTTCTTTCCCCCTCCGCAGCCAGTTAATTTTTTAGCTGGCTGGCCCACTGCCCAGCTCAGTCCCAACTCATGCTGGGTCTGGGACCTACCACCACTGTGGCTCTGTATTGCAAGTGTATTAGGAGCCAGGAGGGCACTGCTTCCACCTTATCAGAGGCAGCAGTACAGGGCAACAGGCAGCCAGTCTGTGTGGGGAGCTGGATTTTAAACTGGCTCCCCTCACAGACCAGCTCCCACCTAGCACCCAATGCTGTTCCCTCTGAAACAGACAGCAGCGCAGAGTGGCAGGGGGCTCCTCAGTAGTGGGCCAGGAGCGCACTGGCTGCCAGCCCTGCCCCCAGGGCCTGTAGAATAGTCAAGTAACAGACAAGAATTCATGAGGTTAATCGACTATTCAAGTAACCAACATTTACCATCCCTAGTTCACAGACCCTTTAGAGCTTTATAAACCATGAAGAACATGTTAGAAACTCTATTTGGGCAGGAGCACTGATACCACATACTGCCAATGTCTCACTTACTGAAGGATTCTACACCAGCTTCAGTCTTGAAATGGGCTTAAGGCCTATATAGTCTCATGCTACATGCTGAAGGAGACCCAGGGTTGAGAAAGCAAGCACCCCCCCCCCCCACAAGCCCCAGCAGAGGCTCCTGAGACCAGCTCCATATTGTGGGTATTGCTACTGTTTGCTTGGGGTTTCAGAGCCAAATCATGTTTGGCCCTACCATCAATCTGTAACTCTTAGCTTTAATTGAGATGACTCCTTGTTTACCTGTAAGGCAGCGTTTCTCAAACTGTGGGTTGAGACTCCCAGGGGGGCCCCCCAAGCAACTTAGAGGGGGGTTGCGCAGCTGGATTAGATTTTTCACTTGTGACCCCTCTATCCCGGGCCGAGAAGAGCGGCGGGGCGGCAGAAGGCAGTCACTGGCAAGCCGTGCAGCATGGCCGGGGCCCCGGGAATCCAGGAGCACGGCTCAGCTGCAGGAGGCCGCAAGGTAGTGGGAGAGTGAAGTCGGAGCCAGTGCAGGAGCTGACGCACGAGGGGCTGGCTGGGGCATGGTTCTCCCAGCTGGGAGAGGGTGGGGTCCCTCAGGCAGCGGGCTGGGGGATTGGGTCAGGACAGAGGACCCAGAGGTAAATAAGGGCATGTGGGGGTCAGAGAAGACACGGGAGGGGAGGGAGGGGAGGAGAAAGAAGGCAGGAACCAAAGGGATGCGGAAAAGAGGCACAGAGGAGAAAGAGATGGGGGAAGGAGCCTGCAGGGGGGGAAGGGCATTGAGGACCGCAAATGCCTTAAAGGAACCCCAGGAGGACAAGGAGTCTGGTGAGAAGGGGGGAGGAAGTGACCCAGGGCAGTGAGGGTGGGGGGAAACCTGGGAGGAGGGAGCTGGCATTTAGTATTTTAGGGGGTTGCGGTATCTCAAAGTTTGAGGATCCCTGCTGTAAGGAACAGAAACTTCCAAAATGTCACATAAAATACATACTTGGATAAAAATAATAAGATGGAACTTGTAATGCAAAATTGAAAAGGGATTAAATACAAAATTTATTATCTAAAAATATATGTAACTATCCCTAGATATTAGTACCTGAATGGGGGAAAAAACAACACTTAAGTCAACATCTCTTCAAGGAGTAACTTTATTCTGGGCAGGAGGCTCTTTATACAGAAGGAATTAAACATTCTAAAATATCCCCCACCCCCCTATCACCACACATGGGAAAAAACAAATAGAAAAATCTTTGTTTCTTTCAATAAATAATTTTGCCTTCATCTTATGTTACGTACTGTTTCACTAGAGCAGTGTTTCCCAATTGGTGCTCTGCGGAACCTCGGGATTCTGCAAAGCAAAAGTAAGGATTCTATGAGAACCCAGCACTCCCCCGCCTCCTCTTAAAGAGACAGACAAATTGCGGTGGGACTTGGAGTTTTTTTTTTTTTTTTGCTCAAAAAGTTTAACCTTGGCAATGCTAGGGGTTGCTTGAAATTCTTTCAAGATGAAAAGTGTTCCATGGCCAAATAAACTTGGGAAACACTGCACTAGAGTCATCTGTAGTGTGAACTGGGGGAGAGTTTCTGTGCTAATTTCATTTTATTCTCTGTGCATAACTTAAGAAAAAAAATCAAGATAATAGACAGTAATATGCCATCTCAAGGTCTGACTCCTTCATATTAAGGTCATTCGTACTTACTACACATGAGTATAAGAAAATGTAAATTGTAAAATAAATCAAAATATATGTAGAATAAAAATGCGGTAGAACCTGCAAAAAGATAGGTAATATTTTGCATGTGATATGTTTTCTTACAAATCTATAGCTTTTAGTCAGATTTTCAATGTAATATACAGCCTCTATTTTTTCATCTAAGTGTCATAAATCAGAGAAAACAATACATTAAAAATGGTGTAGCCCAACCCTGCTGTCCTTATTCAATCAAACATCTTTTGAACTCAATGTGAAAGTCTGCCAGAGTAAAGACTAGGATTGTGCCCATGATACACTTGCTGCTCAATTAATCTATTATATATCTGTTTAATTTACAATTGAAGTCAGCAATTTTTGAAAGTGAGTGGTTTTAGATTTGACAGAGAGGCCCCATATCTGCAAAGGGGTTTGTATGCAGATCCTTATTCCTGAACCGAGTAACCTTATGAGGCTGCCTTTACAGGATACCTTTGCAGGACTAGTGCCAATTCAGAACCCCTTACTCAGGCAAATTTCTGCTTGTCTGTGTAAGGGTTGCAAGATTGGGCTCTAAGTGCTCTATTCTGCCAATGATAGGCCCTATGACCATTAATGAGAATTTAGGGCATGTGATCAAGCAGAATAGACTATTTATGATCAGCTAGTTATATATTTGCATAAGTCCAAACATCTCCCTTATTACTGCCCATTCATTCATTATAAATAAATTAAAACAATCTCTAAATATAAATGCAGATTTTGATTTCCAGAGAGGAACAGTCAATTCTTATTCTATGTTTTTTTTTAAGAAATGTAAACACATAACTTTGTCCTTTTTCACTTGGCAAACATTTCTTCTCCCATCCCACTCCTTCTCCCAGTATATGCCTCTAATGCTGCTTAATTCAAAATGGCTGTTTTACTTCCTTGTGTTTACATTAACATTATAGCACTGTTGAACTCTCAAACCTATAGATATTTGCTAATTAACTGAAAATATAGCCTAGGTTGTTCTGTGAAGGTCCTATGTATATATATTAATTTTAAAATAATGCATAGACCATTTTACTCCTTCATTGCATTGTATAGAGGGCAACATATGCTGCCCACATGTGGTCACCATACATGGAAGAAAGGCACTGGCCTCTTACAGCTGAGTTAGCAGCTGCTCTTTCTCTCTCCACATGAGCAAATTATTGGTGCTCTGCTGATTTTAAAATGGGACAGAGAAATTACTTGAGGGTACACTTTCCATGTAGACCATTTTACTCCTTCATTGCATTGTATAGAGGGCAACATATGCTGCCCACATGTGGTCACCATACATGGAAGAAAGGCACTGGCCTCTTACAGCTGAGTTAGCAGCTGCTCTTTCTCTCTCCACATGAGCAAATTATTGGTGCTCTGCTGATTTTAAAATGGGACAGAGAAATTACTTGAGGGTACACTTTCCATG